CTACTGCTACTACTTTACTACTACTACTACTACTACTACTACTACTACTACTACTACTTCTGCTACTACTTCTGTTACTACTACTACTACTACTACTACTACTACTACTACTACTACCACTCCTCCTGCTGCTGCTGCTGCTGCTGCTGCTGCTGCTCTATTGCTCTACTGCTACTGCTGACGACGACAGTGACGCCGGCTGCGGCGGCGGTGTAAGGCCTTCAACACGGGCATTGCTGCACGAGCACCAAAGTTAATCCGGGCAGCGGAAATGGCAGCACGAAAGATCGCGACAAAACGCAAGCGAAAACAGGTTCGTATGCCCGGACACATACAAGCTGGTTTGCAATACTTTCAATTGCCTAAAAGCTGGGCGGTCATAGAAGTACGTACAGCAAGAGGAATTGTCTTCGCAGAACCATCACTGTAAGAAGTCTTCATCACGATGAAAGCGCCGTGCGTGATGCAAATCTACTGGATGCAGCTGAAGGACTGCCTCAATGCCATCGCCCCCGTCCTACCTGAGTTCATGGGCGGTTCTGCCGACCTGGCACCCTCCAACATGACCCTGATGATGCTCGGACGGGGGATTAAGGGGATTAAGACTCGGCCTGTGCGCTGTGGCTGCATCGGCTCGATTTGCTTGCCTGTTTTTTCGTTTGCCTAGCCAGCACTTGTAAATGATTCCCTAGTGTATTGCTGGGCGTTCGCAGCAAGATGATACAGCATGAAACAATGATTCCCATTAGCATGGCGGCTTCTGTTTCTTGGGCTACCTGGGCGTTCGGAGTGTAGGGTTGCAGTATGTGCTGTCCGGTCAGTTTTGTGTAAAAGGGGTTATGGATGTAGATGGATTTCACGGGTATCAGACTCGATTTGGAGCTTCATGCCTCAAGGTGTTTGTTGCGGGTTTTGAGCCCGAGGAAGTGCACTGGCGACTTCTTGAAGGACAGCTACTCGGAGAGGCGCGTGAGATATCCTTCGGATCATAGCATTCAACTGACGAACTGCAACGCCTGGGTCCTTCGATCTCTGTGAGAGGGTCAAAGGTATTTATGTGCGGGCGCTTAGGTTTCTGCGTGATCTCCTTTGCTCCGAGAACCTAGCATGTGTTGGGAAGCTCCTGCCAGTTTGTTTTTGCTGAAGTAACCTCACATAGTAGGCTGTTCAACGGAAGGCGGAAGACCAGATCAACCTCCCCCGCTAAACCGAAGCCTCAAGACCCATGAACGCCAAATCCCCTGACCCTTAAAACCTTAAACCTTAAAACACCGAGAAGCCCCTTGGCAGGAACTTCCGCTTCGGCATCCGTGAGTTCGGCATGGGAGCAGTGTGCAACGCCCTGTCGCTGGACAAGACAGGCCTTTGACCAATTGGCTACTGCTACCTCTTGAATCGACGTGTTGATTGCGAACGCGGTCCCTTGTATAACCCTCTCCGGTAGCAGCCATGTTGGAGAAGGTTCACAGGCGTTGCATTCGGGAGTCACAAAAAACTAACGGCTGGATTCTTTGAGCCGAACTACTGCATGTCCTGGCTTACTTTGAATGTGTGGGTCGCGGGAGCGCTGCCAGTGCACCGAGATGTCGGGGAGGGGGCATCAGGTTACCAGTGCGACATGCAGAGTGTGCGAGCATTGAACCCTTCAACAGGATTTTTGGTATGAAGATGGCCCTGCAAACCAGTTGTAGCTTCGAGACCTGACGTGCTGGAACTAAGCAGTGCACCCGCTGGTCGTTGTCCTACCCATTTGGTCATCTGAACGCGACGTGCCGGGATTTGTCTTCCACTCTGCGTTTCCACAAGCTGTTCGTCGCTTCAAGATGTTTTCGATCGAATTGGCACACCTGGCTGTGTGGTACAAAGCTCAGACACATAAAGCACTTGCGAACAGTTCATCTTCGAGGGCTCGCGACCTGCCGGCAAGCATCAAGGGACCGCACACGGCGCAGCAAGATGCGGAAAACGGAGCACAACTTTCCTCGAAGATAGGCTTGTCTTCCCCGGCTGTGGGCTGCCCAAAACCTTGAGATGGATCGTTCTCGTTCGACGTCGGAGCCTCCCCAGATCCCCAGACCTGGAATGAGTTGGATACTAATTACGCGGTCTCATTGAAGGTTTTAGGAAATGTGACGAATGCAAACCGTTGTCGAACTTTGGCATGTGGCGTTGTAGGATTCAGCCAGGGTTTGTGGAGGTTATCGAACTGTGGCCCAAGAAATTTCTGTCCTCGCAGGCATCATCCCTTACTGCGCTACCTTTACCATCTTCACCGACTATATGCGCTCTGCCATCCGTCACCTGGTCTGAAAAGACACATGCAAGGCAGGTCGTCCGGAAGTGGAGCTCCCCCCCGCTAAGGTAGTTCAGAGACTTGGGGTGTCAGGAACATGCGGCGAGCAGAAGGGCTGTCAATACTGCATGGCGAGCCACACCCTGATCCCCATGTGATGCTGACTTGCTTGTGTGTGAGTGGGTATCGCTAGGCATCGATAGATCAACAAATATACTGCTCAGGAATCGCTGCCTTGTCGCAAGCTGGCACAATCTTCGTGACGACACACGACTCCATCGCTGTAGGCCTCTGTGGCTTCGGCCACTGGGGAATCACGAAGATACTAGGACGGAACAGTGATGTGCCGTCGCTCACATTGTTGCTGAAAGGTTGGCTAGGAGATCTTAAGCCTGTAGCCGCCAAGTCCGAGCAGCGGGTCAGTCACCAGTTGCAAGTTTCGGCACGCAGCGCTGCAAGAAAATAGCCCTGCAAGCCAACACCGCATATCTCGAAAATTCCAGAACGACTGGCAGACCGTAAATCCAAAACCCGAAGCCTGGATCCCAATTACCCAACTCCAGGCAACTGAAGCCGATCTGTGAAAGCTGCTCGTGAACGCTTCTGCGACTCCTACCGAATATGCAAAGTCGCACCCACGCTTTTGAAGTGCCTGAACCTGTTTGGGTGATAACATTTCTGGTCAACTGCTCTGCAGTACCGACTCCTGAAACCGAAACTGCCGGTGCTCTCAACCCTGAAATGCACCCCTGGTCCATTTAATCGTGCGCAAAGCTGCGCCAGGCGAGGATGGACCTACCCACCAGCCCATCGAGACTATCCCCTCTCTGCACCGGCCCTGGTGATGCCGTTGGGCTGGCAGGGGCCAGAATTGTTTTGCAAACGTTGCAGCAGTCTGCTTTTCTGTTCCACATGTTGTTCAGGCAGATCGCGAAAATCAAACAGGAGTTGAGATTTCAGGGTACGATTTAGGCATTCGATGTGCCTTTAGGGTATAGGCCCCAGCCCAGAACCCGAACATCTCGCATGTCATCTTGCCCCTGAGGCGTCTCATTCCCGACCTCACGGTCCGGCTCTCAACTGCCCAAGGCTAGGCAGGCAAAAACCCCAAATCAAGTCCCGAAACCGCTCAAAGTATGCTTGCATCGGCGTCGAGACTCCAGACACTGAGCCCCGAGTCCCTTCGTGCCTGCCGCTTGATATCTGAATTTTTAGGAGGAATCGAGGAGGGAGTTGCAAGCCGGGTGCTCCAACATGACCATACGTGCGCAAACATATGAAGACTGCTGCAGGTGCCCAAACATGTGAAAACTGCTGCCGGCAAACATTTCCTACTTCAACACCAGGTGTGTGTATGTGTGTGTGTGTGTCTCTGCGACTGTCTTTGGAGTGTTTGTGTGTGTATTCACTTCAACTTGCGCTGTCCAGAAGGGGCAGCCGCATGACGGTTTGCGGCGAGCCGTGCAACGACGGGTTGCTGGATGCAAGTCTTGGTGCACGTTTATGTCTGACGAGCCCTCACTAGGCAAAACGATTCGGTTGGGGTTTGACATGTGGCCACGTCCACGGTTGAGATGGGTCAACCGCCAGGACTGTCTGGAGTGGTTCTCCGTTGGAGTTTCGGCACTGCGCTGGTATCGCATGCTTTTTGTTGGGCATGGGCCCACTTGATTGTGATCGGCTGTGCGCAGATTCCGAGACAAGAGCAGAGGACTGGGTGACACCCAGGTCATGAGGCCGGCGGACGGCAACGAGACGGCAGGCGCCTACAAGTGAGGGCCCCAGCCGCCACAGCTTCAGCAACACCTCTCTTCCTTAAAGGAGCGCCTTCAGCGGTTAGACAATCCCGGATCATGACAGAGCAGCGAAGTTTGGATAGTTTCGGAAATACAATGTAAGCCGAAAACTTTGCAGTTGCAAGGTATGCTGTGGAGCGCTCCAAGTATGAATCTCGGCCCACCATGATGGCCTTCTCACGACAGGTGGGGGGGTTTGCTGCTTGACAGTCTGCCGTGCACAGCATACTACGCTCAGGTTGCGTTCGAAGAATGCACTCACGACATGCCATGTACAATGCATTGACATGACATGTTCGTGCGAATCAAAGAAACCTGCATTTCTCTTTTCTTGCCCTTGCCGAAGTCGTGTGTGGCTTGTTGGAGAGTGAGAGGTAGTTGAACGGTATAACTTCTTGAACAAGATTTGCAGAAGAGTGGTCCCTGCATAGGGATGCTGGGAGTTTTGTTTCGATGTCCGCAAGCTTAAAAGGTGGGTTTGGCATGCCGGCACATGGGCGCATGAACTTGAGGTTTTGGGTTTCTTCACCACGGTTGAGTGACAGAGGCAGTTCCGGGCACTTGGAGGGCTAAGCCACGCTAGGCCCTCCGAAAATGCTAGTCTAGAAAAGCCAGGCATGCCGCAACTTTCAATTCAATCCACCGGAAAATTCTCAGTCAGGCCCATTAAAGCAGAACAACAAATCACCTGGCTTGTGAAAGCGAGCAGGCACTGCCCAACATTCCTAATTCCTCCATCGAGAATACCATGAAAGGCTGAGGGCTCAGTCTTCGTTGTACTTGGGCTTTTATGTCGTTTCGCTTGTGCTTCTCAAGCGATGTGTTCAGGTTGTGGAATTGGGGCGTATAATGTTTCGCCTCTCTTTGTCTCCAACAGTGCCCAGCGGGTTCAGATGACTGGTCAGACGTTGTGGCTTCGGAAACGTTGGATGTAATCAGTGTAATTCTCGGAACGAGATGCACGGCTGAAGAACAGACTGCTGCTGATCATTATCCTTGTTGCGTGATCGTAGGCCTGCAGGGCAAAAGATATTCTTCCAAGACGGCGATGACGACGACGACAGTGCTTCAGTCGGAGTGCTTTCGGTGAGGAGGGTTTGGGTTGAGGGCTCTGCTTGTCGAGGACTTGCGGTTTCCTGAATTCACAGCAGACAGTAGAAAGTTTCTTGCAGGAAGGCTAGAGGATCAGGAGAAGGTAAGGAGTTGATTGGGTTTCATGCCCGTGCGCCTACCATGCGTTCGTAATCGTCGCAGGGCCGCCTTAGCCTTGTGGAGGGCCGCTGTGTGTGGATGGAGGCTTGTGCCCTTACCAGAGCCGCCGTGCCGTCGTGCATCTAGTCTTCGGCGAGGCGAAGACAAAGCCATGTCACATAGCGAAGCGGCGATGTTGGCTCAACCCTTGCCACCAACGCTAGCCTGACGCAGAGCTTCCTGGGTTTGCGAAGTCGTGATAGTTGGGCTGGAAAAGGACTGCGCTCCAAATAGTTCGCCGGGATGGGAGCTCTACCAGTGGCTTCCAGGTGCCTACGAAGTGACGGAGTGCGCCGACCCGGAGGTGATCATCATCGGCACAGGCTCCGAGGTGCCAACTGATCGGGTTTCATGTCGCTGCCTTTGTTTGGACAAGTCGAAGGGATTGAAATTCGCACTGCAAACGCCGAGCCCTCTCCAAATCCCGCAAACCCCGAATTCCCAAACAAACCTGCACTTCGAACGGCAAGCCTTGAACTCATATCGTCGTGCTTCCCAAGCCATGGCCACACGGTTTCCCGGATTTCCCTGAGGCTTGCGGAGCTCAGCCCAACATCGCCAGGAATCCCCCCCCCTTTGTTGAAGAAGACAGGCTTGTGTAAAGGTGCTTGCAAATTCTTCGTTCAAGCCAGTGCAAGAAGTTGCGGCTATGGCTTGATCCTGATATCTTCGAGACTTGAATCAGGTGCACGTCTGCCTGGATGCCGCCAAGGCCATGGACCAGAAGGCTCACTGCAGCGTTTTGAGCTTAGGATGAGTGGTTTAGGGTCAATCCTTTCATGGTAAAGGAGTAAAGTTTGGAGACCTTCGAGGAACAAGTAGTCAGTTAGGGGTTGATTCTGAAGAACGATGTCTTTGAACTTTTGGGAAGCTTTCTTATGCATCAGTGGCCCAGGAGCGGAACGCTTTAACCAGAACCTGAAACCTGCACACCTCCCCTCAAATCACGTGCAGCTGCAGGAGCCTTCAATGCGAGGAAATCCTATGCCCTGAAACCCGGTGCGCTGAAAACAGGTTCGCGTGGTGTCCATGCCATCAGTGGAAGTCTTCCGGGAGCAGTCGGACAGCTACAAGGAGGGCCACACCTGGCTTGTTGCCTTGCGCTGTTGGGCTTTTATTCCCCAAGGTGCTGGGGTTCCGGGACGCAGAGTCTCGGGCAGTTTGGCGGGTATTCAAAAAGTGAGGCATGCTTAGTGTGGCCGCTTGCATCGCATGCTGCTCCCTCGGCACTGCGTTTGGAAACGCTTACACAAGAAATATCAACATGCGAACCACTCTGTCCCTGGCGGAAAACACAGTCGGCAAAGGATGCTCTTCCGCTGCAGGTGTCACTACGACTGCTGCTTTTAGGCTGCTGTATACCCATCGGTCGAACCAGTGCCCTAAGTCGTGCTTCAACCAAACAAAGTCTCGACTAGTGACGTATGGCTGCCAGGGACCATCTTTTGTTCGATTGCGGTAGCAGTTCGATTTTTGGACGGTCCGATTTTCGTTTCAGGGCCTGGCGTTTCCAGGCATCGGGATTGGGCGGGGCTGCTTGAAGTGGAACGAGTAACGATCATCCTCCCTCTTCTTAAGAAGCCCTGAAGCCTTACGAACTGGGATAAGACCTCAAGCTAGACGTTAGCAGCTTCATATCAGCAGTGTCATCGAAATTATGGAGCAAATACAGGATGCATCGTTACAGGTGAAAGGCTCGTTCCGCCCAAGAACTTCTCGGCGAACCTCTTCGGTCGATGAACAAGAACAAAACTCCACACTTAGCGAGCAGCTCTGAGTCTCGTACGAGCCCAAGACCTGGTCCAACGTCTGAAGGCGTAAAACCGTAAAGCTCAAAGCTCTTGGTCGAGTGTCAAAGATCAGTCGCTGCGGAGAGGACTCCCTGCTCCCGAAGGGCGTCCCAACTCTTAGCGTTGAGGCGCTGGCAGTACACGACCAGGGGTGTAGCTTTCTACATGCAGGGTGTGGAGCAAAGTTTCACAGGATCTTGGGGCAATAGCAGTGCATAGAAGTAATTTTTCACGGGCTTACCCTGATTTTTGTCCTGCTCATGCCTCAGGTCATAGATGGTGTTAACATGATTGCACTCGTGCTTTTGCTGAAAGCTTGCCCGTGTCAATTTCTGAGTAGCTGTGATAATCAGAAACTAGGTCAGGAGCATAAGTCCGGCAAGGTTCTAGATTCCTTGTGCCGACAGCTCGAAATCAGTGTCCAACATCCTCTTCGACTCAGTAAGATACGCTGGGGAAAGGATGAAAGCATGCAGTGAGGAAGGGGGAAGAAGGTTGTGCAGTACATCTTCCCGATGGGTTGGATTCGGTATCGCTGTGGTTGTTGCTGGCCAGTGGTGTGTGATAGAGTGCCGTCTTGAATAGTCCTTGTTCAAGGTGTTGGAGGTGCTTTCTACTTCAGCCTAAGTTCAGCCTAAGTAGGTATGCTCAGGCTATCAGCTTTCGGCGAGTTCGTCACTACAGCGTGAGAAAAGCTCAGCGCCGCAAGACACGACATCCAATTCGGCTGAGTCAAACGAGTGTAGACGACACGGCTTTGCGGAAGGGTTGCTTAAAGACGCTGCTGTCGCGGCTGCTTCTGCTACTGCTACTGCTGCTGCGGCCACTGCTCCTGCGACTACTACTACTACTACTACTACTACTACGACTACTACTACTACTACTACTACCACCACCACTACCACTACTACTACTTCTACTATTACTTCTGCTACTACTGCTACAACTATTATTATTACTACTACTAGTACTACCACTACTACTCCTACTACTACTACTACTACTACTACTACTACTACTACTGCTACTGCTACTGCTACTGCTACTGCTACTGCTACTGTACTACTACTAATACTACTACTAATAATAATAATAATTAA